GCGTTTTCAAAATATATATACTGTATTATATACAATGCAGTGCTAGGGAGTTGCTGTGTGGTGAGGAGCTTGTTATGTAGAGGTCTTGTCCTTTGATCTAGATGTATGATAGTTATTTTGTGGGTCCTTTTTTCTGACCTGACTTGGCTAGTCACGTCACCTCCCTTCTCTTAAGCTCCTCTACGTGTGTGTTGGTGTGGGGATTAGTGGATGTCATCATTTTGACCTGACCTCATGTTTTTAGGTCACCCTGTATATTTAAGCCTCTCTCTGTCCATGTAATCCAGTTGCCTCTGAAGATGTCTTGAATAAAGACGAAAGCTAAGGTACTCCGTTGTTTCATTTTCCCGTGTGATTTTATCAAGACTTATCTGTCCACGTTTTCATTTATGAAATATATATATATATATATATATATATATATAAATATATGTATATATATATATATATATATATATATATATATATATATAATAATATATATATATATATATATGTATATATATATATATATATATATATATATATATTATATATATATATATATATATATATATATATATATATATATATATATATATATATATATATTTTTTTTTACTGGGATTAGCCCACCCCGTCACAGGTCACTGACTCACATCGGGGCCTGGGGGGCGATAATGTAATACGAATAATAATTCATAGTAAATAAAATTTATAATAAGAAGTAAAATAAAATATTAATGGTAATAATAATAATAATAACACTGTGATGATAATAATAATAACAACACTCTGATAATAATAATAATAATAAAAAATACAAAAAATACAAGAATGAAAAAAAGTCAATAGTGAAAAACGCTGCATGTATGTTGTGTTGTCATGTTAGAAAAACAATTGAGTCCCTACAATTGTGTGTAAATGACGCAGAAAGACATCTGTAACCTGGGACTTGGTCACAATTTTCGTGATGCTATATGACAGCAGGGTCTACCATTAGACAACACATTACGCTTCCAATATCTTCACAGGCGGTAGTACCTCCCTGTTTGGTAGCTGCCTACTACCTACCACCGGAAGTAAGCGTCGCTGCTGGCCGACCCAAAGTAGTCAGACGCTAGGCTTGTCAGAGAAACTTGCTAAGGGATCGGCTGATCAGCGACTAATGGCAGTGGCAGTTGTAGGGGAGAGTATCCACTACAATACTCCCCCTCCCCTACGAGCACTGCAGAAAACTTGTCGGCAAGGTTGTATTCCACATGTGAGACATAACGGGCGGGAGTGTGAACCACTCGGCCGCTACAGGTGACTACTTCGTCTAGTGACATGGGATCTGTGGGAGAAGCAGAGGGAGAAGGAGAGTTGTGGATAAGAGAAGGTTGAACAGGCGAGGAATGTGGTGCTTCTGTTATGGTAGGTGCAAAGTCCTCAGGGGCGCCGGGTGGGGTGTCTGGGTCCATAGGTATGGATGCAGGATCCTCATGAGGAGCAGAGTCAACGTCAAGAGCAGGGTTCGTATCAGGAGCAGTAGGTACCTGAGGATGAAAAGAGGGTATGCAGAAATGTTGTGGGCGAGGTGGTGCTGCAAGTGGCAACTGTGGGCAGACTGGTACAGGCGTGGTTTGTTAGGGGTAATGCTGGGCTGGGGGCCCATTGCGAATGATCGTCAAGAACTTCGCTGATCCAGTAAAAACCTGGAAGGGTTCATCATAGGGGTGTTGAAGTGGGTTGCGGTGAGCATCGCGCCTGACGAAGACATACTCGGCGCTGAGTAGTGCAGGAGGGATGTGTTCTGGGCGATGGGAAGGCTGGCGTGGGGCAGTGGCTTTGAATGCAGAAACTGCTTGTTGTAGTGTTTGCAGTAGGTCGAGACGGGCAGCAGGAGTGAAGTGGTCGAGGTTAGGAGTAGGTGAGAAGTCCCCGGGGAGGCGAAGGGGTTTGCCTAGGGTGAGATCCGCTAGGCTGCAGTCCATTTCTTCTTTGTGTGATGCGCGGATGCCAAGGAGCACTAAGGGTAGAGCATCCGTCCAGCTGTAGGAGTGGTGCTGTGCCTTGACGGCGTCTTTTAGCTGATGTTGAAACCGCTCTACCATGCCATTGGATTGAGGATGGTAAGAAGAAGTGCGATGTCTGGAAGTGCCGAGGAACTGCAGGAGACTATGCCAGAGATGAGACTCAAACTGGACTCCTCGGTCAGCGATGACAGTCGTGGGAGGACCGGTGAAACGGTCAATGCAGGTGAAGATGTAGGTGTTGCCGCAGGATGATGGAAGAGGTCTCATGATGTCGAGGTGCACTACCTGGAAGCATCCTTTGGGTACAGGGAAGGTTTCTAAGGGAGCCCGTGTGGGTCGGTGTATCTTAGAGTACTGATAGGTCAGGCACTGGGTAGCCCGTACACGTGGGTGACTGAGTCCACGGATGTGGTCGGTGACATGCAGCGGTGAGACGCCTGATGTGACGGAGGTAGTGGCGTTTATCAACTCCCGTTGACGTCGCTTCCTCGTGTAGTTGCAGGGAGCCTCACAGCGCCTAGCGTTAGCACCAAAATGTTGATGGTACCAACAGAAGGTAGGTACACTGTGCTGGGGGCTGGCAGCGGCGTCTAAGGCAGGACGGGGCTGTCGGGGTCGGTAGGACACAGTGCGTGGGGCAGAAACAGGTGCAGCAGCAGGCATGGAGGAGCAGAGCTGCTCGAGGGTGTCCATCCTGCGGTGTAGAGATTGCAGCAGGTCCCTCATATCTTGTTTGTCTGGTGGAATGCTACTTCTCTGAGGAGCGTTGATCTGGTTGACGAAACCGGAGCTAAGTGATGGTGTGGCCACCGAATTGTTCGCAGCAGCATGGTGCACAGCATTGTATTCGTGGAATACTCTGTCTGCCATGGCTGCATAGGTCACCGAAGTAGTAGAGTAGTTCACTGCCGAGAGGGCGAGGCGAGCTTCTGCAGGGAGTTTCTGAGTGTGAAGCTGGCGCAGGATAGTGTCAGGAATCCTGTCTGTGTGGCGGGAGTTCAATCTCTGCATCTTGTCTCAGAGGCATGCAGGCGTTGAGTTGCCGTGAGAGAAACCGGATAGGTCTTGCAGGAGACTGGTATCAGGCCGCTGGTATCGCCTCTTGAGAGCGTCTCGTAGAGCTGCAAACTTGTTGTCATGTGGGGGCTTAGTGATGACTTCTGCAACTTGTGTGGCGACTTTTGTCGGCAGTGCTAGGGAGTTGCTGTGTGTTGAGGAGCTTGTTTTGCGGAGGTCTTGTCTGTTTGAGAGCGCTGAGTAGAATCCACTTCACGGCGAAGCTGTGGGCTTATATATGAGTCCACCGGAAGTAAGCATCGCTGCTGGCAGACCCCGCGCAGTCAGACGCTAGGCTTGTCAGAGAAACTCGCCGCGGGATTGGCTGATCAGCGACTAACGGCAGTGGCAGTTGTAGGGGAGAGTATCCACTACAAGTGCTTTGATATCAAAGAACATCCCGTCAGGTTCTATGTCTAGAGTTGTATGTCATATTAAAAGAAATGTGATAACTGCCAATGGGAACAACTCTCGTATCGAATTTGTGTGGATTCCGTCCCATGTTGGAATTAGGTATCATGAACGTGCTGATAGACTGGCCAATGAGGCATGTAGAAAAGAAAATGTTGACCGTGACCTTGGCCTGTCCAATGCTGTACTTAAAAACATTCAAGTCAGATTCATGAACTCTGATCTAGAAGAACTGAGAAATGTAGAGAGACCTGGCAGTTGTAGCATTAGTAAATATGACAAATTATGTGACGAGAGGTACCGATATGGTCAACATAAGGACAAAACTAGACAATTTGATGTAGTCATGGCCAGAATTAGACTAGGATACAGACACATCTTGCAAGTTAGTAACACTGTACCCATACCGGAACACTCAGCATGTAAACTTTGTGATATACCTTTAAAGCATACACTTGAACACTATATTATTGAAAGTGACACTGTCAAAGACTTCAGGCCACCTGGTTTATTGTAACATGAACTTTGTAATTACTACATTGAATCGGGGGTGCTTGAGGACATTCTTGCTGTTTATCCCAAATTTGCGAGCCCACACTGATTAGTCTTCAATTAGAATATGACGTCCAATGTATATGAACCACTGTCTTGCATGGCAGCGAAAAGTGACATCACCCACATGACTGACCTATATATAGTGCTAATGAATATGATGTATTTCTTTGTGTACGAACCTCTGTCCTGCATGGCAATGAACAGTGACATCACCCACATGAATCTGACCTATATATACTGTTAATGAATATGATGTATTTCTTTGTGTATGAACCTCTGTCCTGCGGGGCAGTGAGAAGTGCAACCACCCTCAGAGTCAAGACCTGACTGAATTACTGAGAATAGGCAAAATGTATTCCAAGCTTTGTCAATAAATTTGTTAAACTAAAAAAAAAGTTCACTGAAAATGTATTGGGGAGACAGTCATAGAAAATTATACAATTTTAATGGGTGACCTATTCTTTAGTCATTAGTGGTCATTGAAATTAAGGGAGAGTGCAAGAATTGAGTGTTGCTGGCGAGGGGAAAGCCACACCTAAAATTGCCGCCATTGGTCATTTCACACTCAGTGGACCACAAGGAAAGTTTTGACACTGATTTTATCCTTGGCGCTCTTCCATTAAATAAATGTCACTTTTTATCCACTTTCGGGGGTGATTTCAGGGGCAAAGCCACACCCAGACCCGGCAGCAATCCACTTTTGCAATGTCGGGTGAGGATGCCTTCAGCCCATGAGGCCAAATATTTTGGCGCCTTTCACAAGAATAAAACCCTCTGGGCTCCCGGTCCTACCGGCAGTCCGAGAAATCTTCACATCCTCTGAGCAACAACGTGGTGACGGTTGGCCGAACTCTATCTCTATTTACGGTTCTGTTATATACATAACGGCCGCTTGGTAGCGCTACATTCGTGAGTGAACGTGTTCGCCTATTTGAGTGAACCATCCTTCTTTATTATAGACTCCTTGGTATACACAAGCACTCGGCAGTATCCATGGCAACGGACAGTCGCGTTGTTTACAGTTACAAGTTACTACAGTCTAGTCAGTAGTGTTGTTGTCTCTAGCCGAGAAAAGATTGTTCAAACATGGTAAGCTATTTTGTGTACAGTTACTCAGTAGTGTTGTTGTGTATAATCACTCAGTAGTGATTGTTGTGTACATTCACTCAGTAGTGTTGCTGTGTACAGTCACTCTGTTGTTGTTGTTGTGTACAGTCAGTAATGTTGTCATGTACAGTCTTTCAGTACTGTTGTTGTGTGCAGTCACTCAGTAGTGTTGTTGTGTACAGTCACTCAGTGGTGTTGTTGAGTACAGTGACTCAGAAATGTTGTTGTGTACAGTCACTCAGTAGTGTTGCTGTGTACAGTCACTCCGTTGTTGTTGTGTACAGTCAGTAATGTTGTCATGTACAGTCACTCAGTGGTGTTGTGGGTATTTTTATAGTAGTTCACACAACATTTCTACCCCAAATCGTTTATCTTTATTCGAAAAAGACGTCTAATTTTAAGATAATTTTCTTCTATTACATTACCGTCGGAAACGTATAACAACGGAGATAGCGCATGCCAAATCTTTCTCTGTTTAATTCCATTAATCTGCAGACATTATCGCCTACCTCCCACTAAGCGTGTTCCCTTCATAAATCGTCATGCACATGCGTTCCTGTACACGTCACGCGGCCAATCAAAAGTTTATATTTTTTTGGCACCAATTAAAATGAATTGTGGTTTCTGCTTTTTGAATTCGTGGTATTTTTTGCCAAATCAGATTCGATTGTGATTTTGGGCCTCTCATGCTTCGAAATTCAAATTCATTTCCGACCATGGAAGTCTGTGATGGGTGTCACTTCAATTATATGGAGTTAATTGTGCCTTTTGGGGAAAAAACGAACAAATAGCATTTTTTTATCTCGTGTTGCTCTCCACCTCCCAAGCCTTCTTGAATTTCAGATTCTAATTCAGAATAAGGGAAGAAATAATAGTGATTTCCCTCATATGGTGAAAGTTTGGTTACATAAAAACACCATGAGAGTTAGGTTAGGTTAGGTCAAGTCAAGTCAGGCTAGGACAGGTCAGGCTAGGATAGGTCAGGTTAGGATAGGTTAGGTTAGGTCATCCAAAATAAGGTTAAGTTTTTATGTTTCTCTAGTGTTTTTGGGGTGTGCAATATTTTGTATTCACTTGACCATGATTTTTATCAGAAAATGACCCACCCAAAACCCTGGTTCTCGACAGGATTCCCTATTTCGTTGGGGGTAGAAGTGGGCGATAACTAAAAACAGGCAATTTCCGACAGACGTCAAGGTCAGAACCAATCAAACAACACAAAACTACACTAGAAAAACATAGTTTTGACTTTCTAACAGAGTTGTATGAACTACTGTAAATTTGCCTTGTGTACAGTCACTCAGTAGTAGTGTTGTGTACAGTCACTCTCGGCCAATTTTTTAAACATTCGGGTTAATTATTAATAACCTGAAAGCGCCCTCCGAGCCGTAATCCATTTTTTTTAAACCATATTTTATCTGGTTACCATTTGGTTGTCCGACTATATTATTGGAAAGTTCGGATAAGTCCTCGGGTGTGGGTAGGCACCCTAAAGACTTATCCCGAATGTTCAAACTAGTTATACATGAATAGAAAACGTCTCTGAAATACAATATATGTAAATTAAGATGAGATAATAAAGAAAACAAATATTTAAATGTCCTAATAACCGGTTCCGATGGAAATGTATATATTTTTAAGAGACCGTCGTGTGCCCCCGTGACTTCGTATCTTCAACTCCGAATATTTTTCGTCTCCCCATCGCCCTTTTCTCCAATTTTATCAAGCATTGCATTCCTACAATCATCCTCTTATAGCTTCAAGTATGGTAAGTAACGCATTTTTGTTTGTGACAATTAGATGTAATGCCATTTCCAATTCGCCAGTATATTATATAGGGAAGATATATGATGAGCCAAATGTACTTGGTAGATGCTGAGGTAATGGTTTACAACAATTGTAATCTGTGACCCACGCTGATAATTACCCTGAAAAAAAATTCTCCTGCTATATTTCACTGTTTGGGTTGTTGTTCCGGTTGTGTTTAGGTACTACCAATATTTGTAAGTTTAGATTAAGTTACGTAAAATATTTTTTTTAGAAGAAATCTTCGAACTCAGGGTTATAACAAAGTGCCAAAATTTATTAATGATGTTTTCAATCACTCGCTTTAAATCGTGTCAGTCTTATCTTACATCACAGGAACAACAATAAACAAAAGTTAAATACAGTGGTCCCTCGGTTAACGAGCACAATTCGTTCCAGAAGGTTGCTTGTTAACCGAAACCATTGTTTCAATGGATTTTTGGGTAATTGTTTCCAACTCACCGAAAATTGCCTAATGTCAACAAAAAGGTAGTAAAGTACACTTACTTTGGGGTGTGTATGTAGAAGGCTCCTGGATGATGATGATGATGATGGGAATTAGAATGGGGATGGAGGAGAAGGGAGAAGACAAGGCATTGGGGTGGAAGACAAGTCACCCCATGGCGCCATTTCACCCATAAAATTTTAGTTCTCTTGGTGTAATTCAAGAATATTTTCTTTAAATCAACACTGCACTGCATTATATATTGTCAATATGTAAAATAAATTTCAAAATGACCAATAATTTGCTTGGAAACACAGAAAAAAGCGTTTATGTTGAAAAGAGTCTGAAGCAAGATGTTACCTCCACTGAAAAGACACAGAGACTGATGCCTGTATGGTGTGTTGAAGGCTGTTTGGCACACAAATAACTAGCTTCCTATACTTCAATTATGTTCAATATTTGTTAAAATGACTAAAAAATTTAATATAAAACTTTTAAAATTATTGAATAGTAAAAACTTCTTGATATTTACTAAAATAGTAAGGAATTTAAGCCCTAGAACCGATTGCTGTATTGGTGGACTAATACTACAGCTGGTGGACCACCAAATGCAAGCGAAAACATGTGGAGGGGCACTCGTAAGAAATTAGTTAATCGTGAGATTGCTCGTTAACAGAAGTTAAGAATCTTCTGGAAGGTAATTCGTTAACCGAAATCTCGTTAACCGAGGGATCACTTTTCACTATGGACAACTTTCTTAAAGAAATTATCTGAAATAGCAATGCAACAAGCTTGTAAACTATTATCAAAAGTAATTTACCTTATGTACAATAGTTACCGCAAAATATAGATAATAGATATTAGATTTTGTTTTATTTTATCTTCTCACGGCTTATGTTCTGCTTTGATTTTGGCGCTTGGATGACCTGTTTATTTACATTTATCTTGGATAAGGCGTACCAACCCTCTCGAGTTGCGGCGTTCAGGTTACTAAATAGTAACCCTAGGTTCGGGATTGATATTCGAATTTGACGAATCCATTTGTTGGGTTACCAAACGGTAACCCGACATTCGGGATTGCTCTTCGGGCTTGCTGCCCCGAGTGCTTAAAAAAATGGCCGTCTGTTGTTGTTGTGTACAGTCACTCAGTAGTAGTGTTGTGTACAATCACTCAGTAGTGTTATGTACAGTCACTCAATAGTGTTGTTGTGTACAGTCACTCAGTAGTGGTGTTGTGTACAGTCAGTAGTGTTGTTGTGTACAGTCACTCAATAGTGTTGTTGTGTACAGTCAGTAGTGTTGTTGTGTACAGTCACTCAATAGTGTTGTTGTGTACAGTCACCCAATAGTGTTGTTGTGTACAGTCAGTAGTGTGGTTGTGTACAGTCACTCAATAGTGTTGTTGTGTACAGTCAGTAGTGTTGTTGTGTACAGTCAGTAGTGTTGTTGTGTACAGTCACTCAGTAGTGTTGTTGTGTACAGTCACTCAATAGTGATGTTGTGTACAGTCAGTTGTGTTGTTGTGTACAGTCACTCAATAGTGATGTTGTATACAGTCAGTAGTGTTGTTGTGTACAGTCACTCAATAGTGTTGTTTTGTACAGTCACTCAATAGTGTTGTTGTGTACAGTCACTCAATAGTGTTGTTTTGTACAGTCACTCAATAGTGTTGTTTTGTACAGTCACTCAATAGTGTTGTTGTGTACAGTCACTCAGTACTGTTGTTGTGTACAGTCACTCAGTGGTGTTGTTGAGTACACTGCATTTTGTGTTGTCTGTTCTCATTGGGGTCACAACTTCACTGCCTGCTGTCGTCGTGATCGGCCGAGATGTCGCTTCTGTTTACGTAACCACAACTCCGCCGCCTGTGCCCAGAAAATCAAAGACCACCTTAATAGTGGTGGGGTGGGCTATGTAATTAATCCCAGATGTTGTAACTGTGGCGGCCGGCACAATGCTGACTCACGGCAATGCCCCAATCGCCCGTCTGTCCCAGGGGAAAAGCCTCCCCGAAGGCCAAGTCTACCACAACGCCCCCCCCAGTCTTCCGGGCCACACCCCCCTGTGTACCCTGTGTCTCCAGCAATGCCTTCTTCAACAACACCTGCCTCTGCCTGGCCTCATCTGGCTACAACACAGCAGTCCCGGCCGTCTCCTAACTCAACTACTGCTGGGCCTCCTCCCCGTCTCTACTCTGAGGCTGTCAGGCCTTGCGCTCCCACCGGTGCCCCCCCACAACCCCCCGCCAGTGACATGACACAGATCATATCCCTCTTCCAAGAATTTACCAACCGTATTGAAAAACTCTTCGCTACACTCTGTACCACCATCTCCCACCTACTCCTGCCTTCTGTTGCCACCCAGTCACTCCTCTCTGCTGGTTTGACACAAGCTGTTGGTCCCCCCGTGAGCCCCCCCCTGCTCACGGCCTACTCCACCGCCGGCGGCCTTCACTACTGGTGTAGTGCCTACCGGGTCTGCCCTGGTGTGTCCTGCTGCCCCCGAGCGAAGTCCTGCCCCATCCTCACAACACTTGGTGCCTCAACCTGTCCACCACCCACCGCAAGCCGCGCCCGTGTCTGAGCTGTCTCCACCAGGGCTACCTGGACCTGAGGACACTACCCCCGGCTACCTGTACCCCACCGACATGTCGACGAACACACCTTCACAATCACACTAAAAGGTGTGTCTCTCAATGTTGTCAATGCCTATGTGCCTCCCTCCACCCCTA